AGTTGGAAGAGCACCTACCCTACCCTCCCTTGGCGGGGACAGTGAGCTCCAAATGATTTGCCCCCTTGGAGAGGCCGGAACTGGAGGCAGCACATAGCACAAGCATGGAGAGGATCCCCACCCAGGAGGAGTGACAGGCAAGGGGCCTCCCTCTGGGGCTTAGGGCAGGGTGTGCACAGGCCGGCACTGGTAGCAGATGCTCGGACACCATGATACCTTCACTGGGCTTTTTAATTAGCCTCCGCGGCTCTGAAGGGCCCTAATTAGGTGGAGAATGTGATGGCAAAATGGGGTCAGGCAGGAGGCGAGTTTTAATTAAAGTTTGAGAGTTCCCAGCCAACGCAGTGGTGGCCTGGACAGGAGCGCCCCCGCCTGACCACCTCTGGGTGCCTCAGACGGCAACAGCAAGTCCGCCTGCCCTCCACTGGCTGGGTCACAGCTGGGCTGGGCCCCAAGGGCCTGAGGCCTCCCATCCAGTCTGCGTGGCCCCTCACTGGCCCTGCTGGCTGCCCCCTAAGACCTGCCCTGCTCTCCCTCTGGTCGTCTGCCCGAGAATAAGCCCTGGAACAATCAGCAGGATATCATGAGTATCTGTGGTGTCCACTGCAAAGGCTCTGCTAGGCGACAGGACACAGACAAACACAATGAAACAAAGGACTACAAGTGTCCTGTGCAATGGAGGAAGCAGGCAAGGGACAGAGAGAGAGCAGGGAGGGCTGTTTCAGATAGCGAGGGGGTGGGGGACAGGGGTATGACAGGCCTGACAAGGGAGGGAGCTCACCTGGAGGGACAGCCAGGCAAAGGTTCTTCTGGCAGGAGTCTGGACAGAGCTGAGGAGCTAGGGGTTGGGGTGTCTGCAGCTGCGAACTAGAAAGAGGGGACCAGTTTGCGGAGGGCTGTAGGCACAGTGGAAAGGGGGCTCTTGGCTTCACTAGGGAGAACGGGGGCCACACGGGGCTTCTGACGGGGCCACTTGCTAGGCACCAGGAACACCAGGACCCCAGTGACCTGAACTTCACTCTGGGTGTTGTCCAAGCAACCTGGCTTGGCTTGGAACAATGGGACTGCAAGCAAGAAGCACATGGATCCTTGAGAGAGTCTGTGTCCTAACTCCTACTTCTGATGACAGTCCACACCTGGCCTGCAGGCTCTTGGGGAGGGGAGGCCGGCAGGCACATGAGTCCTGCCCCACAGCTGCTGATTTTCTTCAGGGCAGTTTTGCAGTAGCCACCTCTGCTGTGCGGAGTGGGGCACAGGGGGCAGTACTGTCATGGATGTTAGCCTTATCAGCACTGGAGGTGACAAAGCCAACCAGCTGACAACCTCATAATTTCAGCTGAGCAGGGAGCAAAAATAGTAATTCACAGTTCTTGCAACAGCCATGATGTGACATGAAAATGTCTGACGTTCCTGTTGCTGACACAATCATAGGTCTTATGCACACAGTTTGGGAATGTCGCCTACATTCCAAATGGGAGGAAATGCTCAATGTCAGCCACGGGGTACTCTTAAAAACAAGGACGTGTTTTCAGCATCCCTGTATGCGTCCCATTGAGTAGGGCATCCCATACTCACCCCACCTGCTGTCCACCCAGGTATGGGGAGAGCCTGAGAACTAGGCTCCTGCCCTGAACATCCTTGCCCTGTAGAGTTGGCCTTCTAGGGAGAGCCACAGTGCCTGGGAGAGGCCAGCCGAACTGCCCACCCCAAACAGTGTCACAGGCAGAGAGAGCAGGACTCTGAGGGAATAGTCCTGGCCTGTCTCAGGGATAGAAAGGAGCTCCAGTTGGGTCAGGGGATCATATGAGGGATACAGGAAGGAAGGGGCTGGCATGAGATGGGGAAACTGAGGCAGGTGCAGGTATAGGGGAAAGAGGTGATGCTTGGAGGGGCCCTGAAGTGAGAGAGACCTGTTATGTACATGGAACTGGGCTGTGACCCTCACGCTGCCCTCAGTTGCTGTGTGGCTACAGGTGGCCCACGGGTTTTTGAGATTTCTGCATGACTAGAGCAACAGGAATCAAGGCCTGGCTGGCCTCAAACACCAGGCCAGGCCAGGCCAAGGAGCAGGGCTGCCCTGGGGTGGGTTGGTGAATTTGGTGTGGGTATGGGGGCTGTGCAGGCCACCTCATGGGGCTGTACTGTCAAAGCAGCCATAACAATTCCTGCAGCCTGCACTAGGAGGGGCATGCATGAGGGTGGGCCTGGAAGAGAGTAAGGGAGAAAGGCCTAGCAGAGAGAAGGGCAGGGCCCTCTCCACACCCACCCATCTGGTCAGAAACACATCTCAGGGTCCCCTCTGGGCTCAGGGGCTCCACAGAGGCCAGCCTAATGGGGCCGCAAGCATGTGGCAGAGCACAGGGAGCCAGAGAGACTCCTTTCCCCCGACCATACAGGGAATCTTTAAAGAGGATAATGTTGTTCCACTAGGTGCTGAATGTTGTGTGTGTTAACTAAGTAGTGAGCTCCCTGCCACTGGAGGAGTCCAAGATAACATTGCAGCCTGCAGAAACGCTGAAGCTTCAGTGTCCTGAGAGGCCAGGCAGGGTAGAGGAAGAACAAAGGTGTCGTAACAGGCATGTTAGGGGCAGAGTTCCAGGGGCTCAACCCTAGCGTGTGACCTTGAATGGGCTTACAATCCGTCTGAGTTCTCAGGCTGTGGTGGACACTGCCCACTTCACAGGTGCTGCACACAGAAGGTGCAGAAGTGCCTGCCAACTTGGGTCCTGGAGAGTATTTAAACATTTCCTATTCCCTCTCCCTCCTGCCCCTTTGCTCCATCTGTTCTTCTGTCCTTGCAGCCACCTTCCTTGGGGAACTTACTGTTCAGCATACTTGGATATAAGTTCAGGGACCCCCAGAGGGGAGGAGCTCCACCCCAGGCACCTCCCCTCCTGCTCATGGGCAGGCTGGAGGATCTGAGCCCTGGGAGCTTTAGCCTGACAGTGGAGGAACACAGGCTGATGGCCCTCTAGTCAACTCACCTTATCCCTTCCTGGCCAAAGTTGGGCAGGCACTCCACTCAATGAGTCCCCAGGATATCTATCCCCAGAACCCCAGGGAAGAGGGACTGGGAGGTCCTAGCTCCCAAGGTAACCTCAGGAAAGCACTGGGGCCTGTTTCCCTAGATAGCTGCGTGGCACTTCCTGGCTCCCTGACAAATCTGCTAGTCATAGGTGGGATCCCCATACCTATATGGCCTGAAGATGCCCCTTTTTCCCAAGGGGGGGCAAACTAGGACAGAATCAGGAGGAAGGTAAATTTCTTAACCTTCCAGCAGGTACACAGGAAGCCATCTTGTTCTTGTTTAAACTCTGTATCTTTCACATGCTCCTTCCTGTCTATATTTTTCACAATTAAACTTTTAGCCCTGGCTGGTGTTGCTCAGTGGTTAGAGCATCAATCAGTTGCCTCCCTCACATACCCTAACTTGGGCCAGGGATTGAATCCACCACCCAGGTATGTGCCCCGCGACCGGGAATTGAACCCTCTACCCTTTGGTGTGAGGGAGGCAACTGATTGATGTGTGTCTCTCTCTCCCCTCCTCCCTCCCTTCCACTTTTTAAAAATCAATGGAAAAAATATCCTTGGGTATTAAAATTTTTTAAAGGACCTTCCTAAGGACACATGAGCATTGGCAGATGACTGGCCATGGGTCAGCTCTCCAAGGCTGGGAGCCAGCACCACCAGAAGGTTCTGTGCCTCTCCCTGGAGGTAAAGACCCCAGAGGCACTTTGCATGAGCAATCTTGGAGTGTTTGTGATATTGGGGATCAGAGCCAAGGTCCAGAACACATAGGTGGTGAGGTCTGGAGGAGGCTGGGCTGTGACCAGGACCAAAGGGTCTGGCTAACAGGGCCAAGAGCCCTCAGCCTCTCAGGAGAGGAGGTCATCAGTGTTTGGGGCAAGAGGGCTACATGGGAGTATGGGCAGCCCTTAGAGGCTGGTGAGGTCCCAGCTGCCCCAGCCCAGTGAGGGGGCCCTGCCCAAGGGGAGCAAGTGAGCAAGGTGGGCAGAAAGGGGGCAGCAGACCTACTCCCCTCCGCCAGGCCAGGGCCCAGGTGATGACTGTTTTGCACCCTCCAAAACATGCAAGGCATGAGGCTGAAAAGACCGCCTCCCCACCCCACCCCCGCAATCTCCCCAACTCAACTTGGGGATCAGTCGCAGCAGCACGAGGGTAGGGGAAGGGAGGAGCCCAGGTAGAAGGTGGACGGGGTGGGGATACCTAAGGTCTGCAGGATGCGAAGCAAGGTCCCAAGTGGGGGTTCACAGCCAGGTCCGAGCCTGGAGAACGTGGAGAGGGCCGCGATGCTCCTAGCCTCCCTTCTGATCTGCCCAGGGAGGCTTCCCGGAGGAGGGGGCTACCTCTTTTTGTCACTTGGACCGTGGCTCAGCGGCCTCCTTGGGGGCAGCGCTGCCCCGGCTCGGCCCCTATTACTGACAGCTTTTTATTTGATATGCGGCCAGCTCCTCCGCAGCACCAACTCCTGCGCTCACGGGGCTGCGTGGGTCGAGGAGGGTGTCTCCAGCAGGCGGGCGCCCCGGAAACTCCCTTCCCGCGGCGGCCGAATGCTGGTAGCAACGGTTTCCACAACACCGGGCTGCCAGCCCGTCCGCGCAGAACCCCTGACCGGGAAAGGGGCCTGGCTGCCCTTCCAGAACCCTAGGATCTGCTAGAGCTTCAGTCCCCGTAACCAGGAAACAGGTTTTAAGGTTCCATATGCTGCCTTTCCACCACCAGAGACGTGCAGCGCAGGCGCAGATGGACTTCATCAGGGGTTGGGGGTGCGCACGCGCAGAGGTGGGACGCGCACGCGCACGCGCAGCGGTGGGCGGGGATTGCCCCCACAGCGCACTCCCGCTTCCGGATTCTGCTTGTGCGGGCCAAGGCGGGGCGTGGGCGGAGCCCCGGTGGCCTGCCCCATTCCCAGCGTCCCCCGCGGCAGCAGGCACTGACGTGGCTGCCGTCAGAGCCGCCATCTTGTGGGAGCGAAACCAACGCCTGGCTCGGAGCAGTAGCAGCACCGCGGCTGCCGAGGGTGAGGCGGGGGCCGTGGGCCGGCGGGGGCTGCGGCCGGGAGCTGGCCTGGGCCGCACGAGGCCCTGCCTACAGCGGCTGGAGTGGTGGGGCGGAGAGGGCCG